ATGCTAAGAGCTATGAAGGATTAGCTATTGGCTTTTATTAAAAAGTATGATTGGAGACCAAACTTACGCTAGGGGTTAAAGAAGATCTGCTCTAAGGAAGGATCATTTAACTGAAACCTGAAGGATGGATGGGAGTTGGCCAGCTGAGAGTGGGTGGAACTGAAACCCTAGGAGAGGGAATAGCATATGCAAAAGCTCTGAGGCAAAAATTAGGATAGTGCATTTGAGGTAGTAAAAGGTCAGTGTGGCTCGAGTACCAAGACAGGAGAGAGGGTGGGGCAGGGCAGGGGCCCAATTATGGGACATCTGGCAGGGCATGTTATAAGGATTTTGGGTTTTATTCTAGGTATAATGGGAAGCTCTTGGAAGATTTTCAGGTGGTTGCTATGGAGAATGGAGAGGATGAGGGGAGAGTGGGGCATAGTGTGGTCATCAGGGTGAGAGATGAGGATGACTTTTATTCGTGTGAGTTTTTTCAGGTCTGCAGGTAACGTTTTGTGTGTAGGAAGCTATTTGCAGTTACTTTGATTTTAAAATGAATATTAGTTCAGTAGAGCAATACATTTAAAAATTAGCTTCCTATAAGCCTTTTGCTTTACCCATCTTAACCTATTTATAAAGCTAGCAAAATTTAAAATGCCTCAATTAATGCTTAATCAAGTGGAATAAACTGCCCTTAAACAATCAGTTCTATGTACGACTTTGTGGATTAAATTTTTGTCAACAATTTAAACTGCTTTTATTAATTTAACATATTGAATTTTTAGAAGTACTCCACATGTCCTATCTAACACTCAGAACCTTCCAAAGTGCTTCACTCCTGTAAATAGAACAAATTAAATTTACAGAAAAATCAAGTTGTGTTAAACATTCCAATATTCTCTGTTAACTTAGCCAAATTCTCTTATAGCTTTCAACTCAAAGTCACCAGGACAAAATAAATTATTTAATTACACATTTTTCATTGGAATCACAGGTTAATCCATTGTATGCTCTAATACGCCATATTAAAAATCTATTATAATGGCTTTAAATTCCATATCATATAGATGATGCCAATGATTAAAAACTGATTCCTAATCTTTGCATATGTGGTTTACTATTCTGGGCCTGACTTACATCTTTTAATCTGTGTTTAGTTATGGCCTTTCTGAGGCCCACCTTCTCAGATACAGTGTTATTATCTTAAACAAACTGAGATCACTGGGCCCATTATTTATGGTCTCCACCAGATCACCATCCCAGCATCAGGGGTTGCTCATCGGCCAAAAGGGACTTGAGGGAGTGCACTGGGCCTGTGCACTTCAAGGGTGGTTGTCTCCACTGTGACTGGGTACTCGGAGCTCCATCTTAAGAATCGAAGTGACAGCAGGAGGCTTGGAGTTTTCGCTTCTTATAAAAAGGGTAGGTGTCTTCTAGGTTCTAGTTATACCCTCGAGCTATTCTTCTGTGTGACTTGTGTAAACAGAAGCCAGTACCTTCACTGAGGACGTAGCAAACATTCCTCATGGCTAGGTTAGATTTTTTTTTTTCATTTCTTTCGTTGTTTAGGACATTTATTACCTTACCCTCTGGTACAAAAGACACTTAGATGCCAATGCATCAGTCCTTTAGATCTTTCTATAATTCTTTTCTCTGATCTGTGTGGTTGGAATTTTGCATTCCCTACTGAGGTTACGGCTGACTTCCTTCAGCAGTTTCTTTCTGCATAATTGAATTCTGAATTTTCATGGTCTTCCTGAGTGCCTGGGCACCATTTTTTGGATTCAGAGTACCTGTTAAATCCTCATTCAGCTCTGAGGCACATCGTGAGGTCATGCAGATGAGATCTTGGATTGGGGTGTGGTGAATGAGCCAAAGCAGGTGGATTTAGAGAGATTTTGGCAGAGCTGACAGGATTTGTTGATGGAATGGATGGGGGGATGAGGGAGAAGGGTTTCAAGGATGACTTCCTGTTTTCAGCTTGAGCAGCTTAAAGAATGGAAATTCTATTTCCTAAGAAGGGTGGCTGAGAGCAGGGGCACAGCCTATGGCAGTTACAATTCCACATCCACAAGATACTCAGTATCTGTTCAGCTTCTCACAGGGCTGAGCACCCCAGATAACTGAGGGGAGGAGCCACACCTGAATGGCAGTATGAGTGAACTGCCTTTGTACCCTACTTTCTGGAACCCATCCTGCAAAGTTCATTAGTGGCAAAACCCCAGACGGGAAGAAGCACTCTTCAAGACAGAGTTGTTCCAAAAATTCTCTCCTGGAAGTACTCCCCTTTTTAGGTTTGTTTCTGAACCTATGTCACCTCATTCATTCATTCATTCATTCATTCAATAGTTTCTAGTGCCTACTCTGTACCAGGTATTCTCTAGGCACTGAGGGTAGAGCAGTGAAAAAATATTTAAAAATCTCTACCCTCATGAAGCTTACATTCTAATTGCAAGGAGACAGATACACATAAATAAGTAAATATATAGTACAATACACGTTGATAAGTGCTATGGAGTTAAAAAAAAAGTGGGGAAGGAGGATGAAGAATCATGGGGAGAGGGAGGTGCTATATAACATAGGATGTCCAAAGAAGGCCTTTCTCATAAGGTGGCATTTGAACAGAGACTTGAAGGAAGTTGACCAGATGTGGAGGAGTATTCCGGCAGAAGGAACAGGCACAAAATCTTGGGGCTGGGTCCTGCCTGTTGTGTTTGGGGAACAGCAAAAAAGGCATTGAATTGGAATGGAGGAAGCTAGGGAAAAAGTAGGAGATGACGTCAGATGGTATGGGGGCTGGTGGGCAGAATCTTGCAGGCATTGTAAGGACTTTGACTCTGAGATAGGAAGCCCTTGGGGATTTTTGAGCAGGAGAATGGAATGACCTGATTTATATTTGCACAGGATCACTGGCTGTTCTATTGAGATTACAAGTGTGGGCACCCTTAGGAGGCTATTTCAGTCGTCTTGGTGGGTGACAATGGGTGGTGGAATAGCAGCGAAGGTGGCAGAGGGTGCTCAGGTTTTGGATGTAATGAAGTAGAAGATCTGTGAGGTGGGAAAGAAAGCAGAATCGTGGATGACAACAAGATTTTGTTCTAAGCAGCTGGAAAGATGGAGCTGCCATTTACCGAGATGGGGAAGGCAAAGGAGAAGTAGACTTGGGGACATTCGGGACTTCAATTTTGGACGAGATAATTTTGAGAAACTGTTAGACACGTTAGTGAAGATGTCTGGGCTGGAGAGGCATAATTTTGGAAGTTGTCAGCATACCGGGGAGTCTGGCTGATATCACCTGGGGAGTGGGATTAACAGAGATGAGTTAGGAGGAACTGTATGGCCTTTATAGAAAAACGAGAGTAATGAGCTCTATATCATAGGAATGTGGGGATGATTAAATGATATCGTGTATGTAGGGCACTTTGTACAATTCTTGGCACATAATAGGTGCTTCTTTAAGCTCCTTCCTTCCCCCTGTAGGTGGACACATTTACCTTGCTGGTGGCCAGGTGGCTGTGGGTTTCCTGTATGACATGAGTCTCATGTCTTTGTGTCCCTGTTGCTCAATCTCTGTGTGCAGCCATGTTGACCAGCGGGGTCCTCCAGCTTCAGGGAATCTTCTGTGCCCAGAAGTTCTCTGCCTCTTCACCCCCGTGCTCTGTCCCATTCTTCCCGGAGACTCCAGGCTTTCTCCACCCCCTCACTGATTATTGTCCCTTTGGCTTTGGGATTTGAGCTCCCCAGAAGCTTCAACACATTTTAGTGTGAATGGAGGTGCAGAAAGTTGGTTTTCAGCTCTCTGGGATGTGAGTGATGGAGGTGCAGAAAGTTGGTTTTCAGCTCTCTGGGATGTGAGTGAGAGAGCGAGCCCAAGAGCATTACGGCTCTAAGGATTGGAGATGGGCCTTGAAGCGGGAAATGTGAGGACCCCAAAGATAGACTTTGCTAATTTCCTAACTTTGCCCCTGACAGTAGATTGTCCCCCATACCCTACCACTCAACTCACCCATGTACTGAGATCTCTGACCTATAGTGTCAAACAGCGTCCCTCTTCCACAGGAGCTTAGGGTTGAAGCAGAAAGCCATGATTTGTCTTCCCCAAGGCCTGAGTTGGAGGGCAGGACCACACCAGAGTCCCCGAGCCCCCTCTCCAGTATCCAGCGAAGCATGTCCAGGCTGGTGTCAGCCTCAGTATCCAAGAGCAGAGTATAGCACCTTCTGCCTACCTCCCTTTTCCTCCTTGTACCCCACAGTGCCCTTCCTTGTGCCTGTCTCTGTCTTTAGTTGGGGTAGTAGTGGGGGTTGGTCAAATTTCCAAAGTCACTGTCACACCAGGAAGCAGGGAAAGGGGTCAAAGGAGCACCTGAAAAGACTGGATGGCTTCAGTGGTTGGGGCAAAGGGCTTTGGGCAGGGAGGACAAGAAGATGCTATTTACACTGGGTCTTGAAGGGTGGACAGGGAAGAAAATGTTTTAAATGGCTGAGATGGGGAGAAGAGCTTTCAAGGAAGGGGGAGCTGCAGCCCCTGTGTGGACAAAAGGAATAAGGAGGTGTGTTAAGTGTGTGCCTCAGTTATCTACTTCACATGCAAACAAACAATATTTAATATGGTTGTCTGTATTTTCACACTGTTCCCATTATCTAAGGTCCTAAATAAGGAGTTACTTGTTTTCCATACTCCTGAATATAACTCTGTCCCTATCATTCACTATTTAAATTAGTTGATGCTGAAGTGTTTAGAACAGCACCTGACACATACTAAACACCATGGAGTATCTGTAAAATAAAAGAAATACCAGAGGGTTGGCCGAGTGACTCAGTTGGTTAAGAGCTCGTTCAAGAGTGCAAGCTCTGAGTAACAGGGTCGCCGGTTCAATTCCTGGCCCGAGCTGAGTTGCCACTGAGCTGCCAACAGGTGGCAGGATAGCTCAGCTAAAAAAAAAAAAAAAAGAAAGAAAAAGAAAGAAATACCAGGCTGGTTTGCGAGAGAACAAATTTAAACAACCAAGTTCCCTTTCTATAGCACAATTTTATTTCAACAGGGTGGCTGCAAAGGGAAGACAGATGCTGTCTGAGGACCAAAGCATCCTTAGGCCCCAGAGATGGGGTTTCATGGCAAAGCTTCAGGAGAAAGCAGAATTTATCAGAGCATGAGAGCACAGAAAAGCAAGCATGGGCCTCAGTTTATTCCAGGACAATGCCCGGGACCATGGGGCTAAGAGAGTTGGCTGGGGAGGGAAAGTAGCTCTGTGGCCCCTTCTCCTGTTCCCTAGGCTGTGATGGCTCCACTGCTCACAGTTGTCTTTGGACTCCGGTCCAGTAATTTGATGTACCTCTGCACCCAGGCTTTACTGGGGTTGGCACAGATTTCTTGCCCTCTTTTGGTAAGGAAGCTGTGGAAAAAGAAGATGAAGATGAGAAACTGAGGGTCAGCAGGCAGGAGGGGATCCCATTCCACCACCCCATTCTCTTCCCAGTTTGAAACTCCTCACCCCTCTCTCTGCCAGATGTGGCCCCTTGCAGAGATAGACCCCAGCCCTACACCCCACTCTACTGCCACCCAGTCTCTGTTGTTTCCCAAGGAGTCAGTGAAGGACCCACTGGGAAGCCCCACTTTCCTTCTTCCCTCCTCTTTCCCAACCCCTCTCTATCCACGGGGACCAACTCCCATCACCTCCAGCTCAGGAAGAGAAGTCCCCAGGCCACTCCTCAGCAGCCTCCGCTTAGAGTCCCAACCCCCTACTTCTCTCTCCCAGGCCCTACTGGTTCTCATCATTTGCACCCCCTCCCATCGTTTGCTGGGTTGTACTTACATGACTGCTGGTTTAGGGCACTGGGTACCGGTTCTGTGATAACCTTTTACAACACGGAATGGGACCATTCGAGAGATGTAGCTGAAACAGCAGCGAGCCATGTTGTTATCTGGTCCTGCAAGGTAGAGAGGACTGTATGATGCCAAAACCTTCTCTACAAGGAAGCTTAGACTTGTATCTTTATTCTGGAGAGAGCGCATCGGGGAGGGGTGAAGTGGGAGAAAGAGATAAGGCAGGAGCCCCCAGGGAGGAGTGTGGCCTGGCCCCTCTCTGGCAGCTCTTCTTCCCATCTCTTAAATTATCCTCCTCTCATACCTCTTTTCTTTCCCCGCTGCCAGCCCCTTTTGACCTCTCCCTCTCTCAGACCCTCCTCCGGGCTGGGATGTGACTCTATGGCCATAGAATTTCAAATTTCTTTCAGTCTTCGGGATTTGGAAATAAGAAATCAGAATTCCTTAGAATTCTCAAAATCATAAATTATTCTTTATTTTTCATAATACTTTGTTTTCATGTTTTTAAATAATAATGAGTGATGATATAGTAAACAGTGAATCACTTTTGCATGATAGGGTTGTACTAAAAGTTTCAGAGGTTTTCTGTACAAAAATTCAAGGTTTGTTATTATTATAATAAATGTGACAAGATTGTATATTCAGTAACATGTTGAAGGCTCTCCAGCATATATAGACAGTCAATAATGGAAAACATGACAAAAAGAGAACATTAAAACAAAATAAGTGGCCAATAAAAATCATTTAAAAATTGCAAAAATGCTACAACTATCTAATAGTTAAAATACTTCAAAGTTGGAGATCCAAGATGGCGGAGTAGATAAACGCTGCGCTTGTCTTCTGTGAACACATTAGAAGTACAACTAAACTATAGAACAATCTACCTGGAGAACCATCTGAAGTCTAGCTGAACAGAAGTTTTATAACTAAGAATATAAAGAAGAAGCCACGTAGAGTGGCAGAGGGGTGGAGACGCAGAACAGGCCAGTCCCAAACCCTCATGTAGTGGTTTAGAATTGGGAGGGACATACAGGAAGAGACTGAGTTATGTGGCTGCAGAGCGAGGACTGGTGGAATAGTCGCCATTTTCCCTGTGTGGGGTCCTTCTCCTGTGCAGCTGGCAGGCACGTGCTGTCTTTCCTGAGTTGAGTCCTCCCACTATGTCCATGGCCAAATCTGAATTTGAATTGGTCTAGTGAGCTCTACATGCTCCACCCTGGTACATTAAAATGGCAAATAATGTTGATGGGGCAAGCAATGTGCATATTGATTTATATGCCAATGATTGTTTTGTCCAATAAAGGCCTTATTACCCTCATGTAACACATGAAGAACCCAAGGTTCAGGAAGCCTAAATGAGGCAGCGGAGGTCACAAGCTGGTCAGGGTAGAGCTTCTAGACTGAGGCTCCCCAGAGCAGAAGTGTTTTTGTCCACCGCTGTTTTCTAGCATGTTGACTGAATGGGTGACACCGAGTAGGCTTTTAATATATATTTGTTTAATGAATGAGTGAATTCAGTTTAAATCTATGTCTTTCTGACTTAAGCCAGCTATTTCTCTATTCTTTTTTGCTGTTCTCTGGAGAAAAGAAAACAGCTTCCCTTTGCTAGGTTTCTACTACTGGTCTGGCTTACTTCCTGATGTGGCTTATCTCCATCCCTCACAACAACCCTCTGAGAAAGTGTTACTTACCCCATTTACAGATGAGAAGTCATACAGTGATAACTGGAATTATGGGAAAGAATTAAGGAGCTCTCTAGCTAGTTGAAGTAAAAAAATTCCTGGGAAACAGCTCTCATTCCTATTCAATGAGAGGTCCAGGACCTAGCATTTTTCCATCTCTGAATTTGGTAGAAATTCAGCTCAGGAGAGTAGTTTCTTGCAAAGTCTCCTTCCAGGACCCCTGCTGTGCCACTTTCTCCTCTGACTCCAGCCCTCTACAGAGAGGCAACCATGCCTGTTTAGGAAAGTAAGGACAGTGAGCTGGGAGTCAGGACATCTGGCATCAATGCCTGCCTCTTTCAGAGCCACCTGCTACTTCCTCTTCATGTATCCCAGATATTTATTGGGAGCTTACTATATGCCAGGGGCGGCTGTGTGCCATATACACAACTGGACAAATCTTATAGGGGCGGGGAGAGAGACTGGTGTGGGGCCCTCAGGCTCAAATACCCTCTGTAAGCCAGGCAGACAGCAGTTGGGTGTGGCCTGGCAGTGCGGACTCCTGAGACCTGCGGAGTGTACCCCCATCTAAAGGGGACAGAGCCACCTCAGTTCCAGTCAAAGTTTATCTTGTGGAAACTTGGACTCAGATCTGTTTGGTCTTTCAAAAGAAATGGCAAATATAGATTGTTAAATGTTTTAAAATGTTTCCATTTTTAAAATGGTAGCCACCAAATTCAAATATTGTAAAACCCTGCCTAAACCATGAAGACAGCTTGATCTTTTGCAGTTTCCTCTCCAAGCCCACGTCTGGCTCTTCTATAACCCCAGGAGGTGGCTGAGCAGATAGCCTGAAATACTCTGAATTAGCGTCTCTATGCTGGGTACCCAAGGGCCAGGGGCTCCAGATTCAGGGGTAGGTTTTCCTCTTGCTAGAGGAGAGAGAAGTGAGTCCTGTTCAGGAATGGGGAAAGAGAGGCCCCTGGTAAAGATGCTGTCTGTTTTTCAAGGACCCCCCCAGGCAGCTTTCTCTGGACTACCCACACCTCTTCCCTGCAGCTCTCTGCCTTTTGCTGCTGTGTTCTCTTTGTTCAGAGGGATGAAAGGGTCATGTGTCTCACCTTCATTGGCCTCAGAGTGGAGGGCGGCAACCGTGAGGAGGACAGCCAGGGGAAGTAGGCTGACCCTCATCCTTCTGGTAAGCGACTATCTACAGGAACAGGGCTGGACTGAGGACTCCTGTGTTCTCTGACTTCTGGAAGTCTAGGCTCTGAGCCTCTTTTATAAGAGGTTGCTGGGCAGGAAGTCACAAGATACAGACATCCAAAACTGCATGAGAGTTTTGTTTCTTCAGAATTGTGACTGTTGACATATCTAAAATACGAGAACTGGGTGAATTTATTCAAAGAAAAGAAGAAGGCGGAGAAAGATCTAGGTTTCACATTTGGCTTGCATCTTGAGGATGGTGGTGGAGGAAGCCCAGAGGCCGAGGGCTTTGGGGTGGAAACTGCCTTCCTTTCCTGCCCCTCCCCAAGCAACCTGGTTAAGCCTCCTCTGTAAGCCCATCTTCAGGTGTGGACCTTGAGTTCAGAGGTCTGGGTGACTGTCTCAGGTTCAGCAACTCCAGGGCCCAATAAAATAGGGATGTGGGAGTAACATGCTATGTCCATCCCTAGCACAAGGCCTGGACTCAGGTAGTGGGGGCTGGGGATAGGGAGAAGGGTCTGGCGGGGATCCTGTGATGGCTGGTCTTTACCAGCCAGGATTGGACTGGAATCCCTCACCTAGGTTGAGCTAAAGGCCCCTGCCCCCTGCCCAGCACAGGGAGTTTGGTCTGATCCTTAGCACCCAAGGATGGTGCACAGGGCTCTTTGCTCAGCCAGGACTGCTTTGGAGACTGGGGCCCAGGGACAAGTTTCCTTTGCCTTGAGCTGAAGGAGCCAGAGGCAGGGCAATGAGGCTGTGCCTTGTGATTTGGGCTAGGGCAGGATGCAGGTGATTTCCTCCTTTCCCTTCCCTGGAGGTGACTCAGGGGCAGTGACCACTGACACAGCCCCTGGGAGGCATCATTCACAGTGCTGTGATCAGATCTGTGCCACCTGGAACGCAGCTCCATAGAATACAGTTATATCTTGCCACCCTCGAGTGTGTGCTGCAAGGTCTCTGCACAAATGGCTTGGTGACTGGGAGGTGCTGCAACCAACCATCCTGGTTTGCCTGGAACAAAGGGGGTTCCTGGGATGTGGGACTTTCAGTGCTAACACAGAGATGAATTGGCCACCCAACCTCACACCCAGTTCAGATTAAGCACTTGTGGTTTTCTTTTTTCAATATTTTTTGATTGTAGTAAAATACACGCAATATAAAATTTACCATTGTAATAATTTTTAAGTGTACAGGTCAGTAGTATTAAGTGTATTCATATATTTGCATCCATCACCATCATCCATCCACAGAACTTTTTTCATGTTGAAAACTGAAACTCTATATCCACTAAAAATTAATTCCCTAATCTCCACTCTTCCCAGACATTGTAAATCATTATTCTACTTTCTGTCTCTATGAAATTGACTATCCTAGGTAGCTCATATGTAAATGGAATCATACAGTATTTGTCTTTTGATGACTGGCTTGTTTCACTTAGCATAATGTCCTGAAGTTTCATCCATGTTGTAGCATGTGTCAGAATTTCTTTAGTTTTTAAGACTGAATAATATTCCATTGTATGATGCCTATTTTGCTTATCCATGCATCTGTTGATGGACAGTTGGATTGCTTCTACATTTTAGCTGTTTTGAATAATACTGCTATGAACATGGGTGTACAAATATCTCTTTGAGACCCTGTTTTCAGTTTTTTTGGGTATGTACTCAGAAGTGGGCTTGCTGGTAAATCTGTTTTAAATTTTTTGAAAAACTGTCATACTGTTTTCCACAGAAGCTGTACCATTTTACATTCCCATGAATGGTGTGCAAGAGTTCCAATTTCTCCACATCTGTTTTTGTTTAGCATTTGGTAGTAACTATGCTAATGGGTATGAAGTAGTATCTCATTTTGGTTTTTATTTAAGCACCTATGTTTTTATCAGTTTTATATAATGGGGTTCCATGTAAGTTGGTTTGCAAAGAAAATGTCCTACTAAAAAGAAAAAAATTAAACCCTGTTCTAAGGGAAATAGTAGGAGCTTTTGAGTTAGTCAGAGGCATTGGTTTTAGTCCTGAAATCCACCACTTATGAGCAATGGGACCATTTGAGTAATGTAATTCAGCTTTTAAAGTTAGACGTGGTTATTGAAAGGAATATGTAACATAAACGATTTAAGTGGGTGAAAGCTTCCTTATGTGTCCATATCAAGACCTTCCTTGGGGGTGCTGTTCATTCATTCAGTAGATGTTTATTGAGCGTTCACTGTATGCCAGGCACTTTCTAGGCCCTGGGAATGCAGAGACAGACAAGGAAGGCAAGGCCCCTGCTCTGTAGGTGCTCACAGTCTAGTGGGGGAGACAGACAAATAAGGAAGTAGGAGATGAAGTTAAAAGCAGGGAAGAAAATAAACCAGGGTGATGTAATAGAGAGAGCCTGCGGGTTAGGTGGACGTTTTTTGATAAGCTGGTCAAGGGAGCTCATTTGGAGAGGGTGCCATTTCAGCTGGGACCTGCTTGTAGAGATGGAGCCAGTCACACAGATCAGGAGCAAGTGTGTCCCAGGTAGAGAGAATAAGCAGGGCAAAGGGAATGGGCTTGGCGCATTTGAGGGACAGACAGAAGAGTGCCTGGAGAGAAGGGTGTGAGGGTGAAAGTGACTGGAGATGAGGTCTGTTGTCCAGGTCCTCTGGGTCTGCTGACTCAATGGTTTGCCTCACATTTAACCACCATCTCATTCACATGGGAACTGCAGATGGTGACAAAGCGAGCCAGTGTGTCTCATATGCCAGTGGGGCCCTGGGTAGCAGGTGGGTGGATTTAACATGAACACTTGTCAGTTGCTTTCAGGGAAAGCAAGGGAGAGACGACCATGGATCCGTCCCCTCTCAGACTTCACTCTCCCTCTTCTAGACTGATGGAGAGGGTCTCAGCTGCCTGCTTTCTCCCAACAAGTCAAGAGCATAAGGGAGAGAAATCATACGTAGATGGATGTCTCTGATGGCTGTCTTTCTCTTCCCTGCAGACAGTGGGCTACTGTGTGTGCACAGGAAGCGGATAGTGGCCGACAGTGGCCCTTGTTCCCTTGGCTAGCAGAACATTAGATGTGAGGGGTGCAGGGGACACACATGGGCAGGAGGATAGAAGAAGCTGACTTGACCATCGCTTGGGTCTCTGCTAACTCCTGGGCTCCTGAATCAGTTACTGAAGACACTGAGTCATCTGTCTTCCAAGCAACATGCACCCTCTTTCTGGAGCTTCAGTCTTGCTTGGCTGACTCTACTTCCCCTATTCAAAGAAGGACTGGAGTGGGGGAGGGGGACTTGGGCAAAGATTAAGGTTCAACGTTTTTTTTTGTTGTTTCTGCACACTGGCACATACAGCAATGGCGCTGGCTCACAATCGATTGTACATTAGTTTCCTGAGTTTTACTCTTTCCTGGCTGATCCCAGGTGCTTTGATTAAATGTTGGAGATCAGATACTTTGTCTATAGCTCTTCCCAACCCACCCTTCTTCAGATTGATGTCTGTGGTCCCAAAGAGGGAAGTAGGTCAGCCCAGCCTGACTATCTGTAGTTGCAACCATGCTGACTTGCAGTGACTACTTCCTTTTGAAAGTGCTAACAAAGGATTTCTTACCAAGAATTGCATAGGTAGAGAATCTTGCCCAGAACAGAGAGGGCTGCCCATTCTCAAGTTTATGGACTCCATCTTCTTTTCCCCTCTTTCCAGTAAAACTTGTTGCTGTTTGCTTGTCTTCAATATTTTACAACCCCTCTGCCTCCCAAGAATCCATGATTATCTGTCTCTACTGTATGTTGTCTCAACCTCTACAAAGGACTTCATCCAAGCAAGGAATGAAATGCCATACACTCTACCTACCCATGTTGGGCTTCAATCTCTTCTTCACTATGGGAATTAACGACTTTTCTAGACTGTAATGGACAGAGAAGGGACAAATACAAATAGGAGAGCAAGTGTTCTGCTTGTCTCACTTCAGTTAACACTATTCAGTTAACACTCTTAGTTCATTCATTAATTCACTCATTCACTCATTCATTTATTCTATAAATATTTATCAAATGCATGCTATGAGTTGAGCGCTGTTCAGGCCATGAACAAGATTTAGCCGTGAGCAAGATGCACAGAGTCTTCTGTGAGTTTAAACAAGCAGTAAGCCTTTGGCACTTTCTTCTTAAAACAAAGCAAGGCAAAACAAAAGCGTTGATGATTTATTATTTAAAAAAACAACACTATGAGAAATTTAGAAATACTTAAGCAAAAAGAAGTAAGCAGAAATCCCCTGTGATCCCACAGTAACATTTAAAAACGTATCTTTGTCTTTTTTCTCTGCATGCTTTCTCCCTAGATGGGACCATACCAGAACAGAAAAACAAAAAAGTTCAGAAGGTCACTTTTTGAAGTTGAGTACATTTTGCTTTTTTTTCATTTGTAGCCTTCTTATGGGTGTATGTATGTGTGTGTGTGTGTATGTGTATGTGATCATGTTTATTAAGGTATAGTTTAAATACATATAAAATTGACCATTTTAAGTGTACAGTTTAATGAGTTTTGACAAATATATAGTCATGTAACCATCACCACAATAAAAATTTAGAACATTTCCATTACTCCAAAAAATATCCTTGTGCCCTTTTTGTAGTCAGCACCTTTCCTTATCCTGAGTCCTTGGCAAACCACTGATCAGATTTCTGTCCGCATAGTTTTACCTTTTAAATAATATTATGTAAGTGGGTGTATTCTATATGTAGTCTTTCAGTCTGGATTCTTTTGCTTAATACTATGCTTGTGAGATTTATGCATCTGTCAGTAGTTGGCTCCTTTTTGTTGCTGAGTAACATTCCATTGCGTGGATATATAGTCAGCTCTGCTGTAAGGCTTATTTAGAAAATGTGAATTTATTCCAATATGATCAATATATTAGGAAACAATTTGAGCATAATACAAATTCCTCCATTTGCTTACATATGATTTTATCTGTGAAAAACACTGGGTGAACAAGGCTCACGGGAATACACAAAACACACACCTTTCAAATACCTACCAGCTACTTCAGTTCACCACACATGTTAGGAGCCACATCCAACTGCAAGTGAAGTTACAGCTTTCT